TTTTTTCAGTGTTTGTAATTTTCATTTATGTATTTATATTTTTACTTTTTGCAGAATAATTTAATTTTTATTGATTTTATTTTGCTTGGTAAATTTTAATTTAAGTTTTAATGAAATAGAGTAAAGGTTATTTTAACTATTTTATAAATTTTGAATAATTTTTATTGAATGTTTTTATTTGGATAGGTTAAATTAATTATTTAATGCGATTCATTCGCCGTCTGATGCGAGTACTAATATAAAGTGAGTGTTTATATGATACAAATACTCACTTTATATTAGTACCCGCATGATATGCATTAGTATCCGTGTGATACGGGTACCCGCGTGATACGGGTACCCGTGTGAGATACGGGTACCCGCCTGATACGGGTATCCGTGTGACACGGGTACCCGAGGAATCGGTTCTCAGCCGTGTGCAACGAATGACGGGCGGGCGGGCGGTTCTCAATTTTTCTTGTTACCCGGTTTTTTCTCCGAGCACTAATATATATATATATATATATATATGCATTTTTGTTATGAATAAATTTTGCAATATATTTGTAACTATCGATAATTATCGATAGTCAAGTATCAAACTATCGGTAATTATCGATGGTAACGACTATCGATAGTTCTCCACCTCTACTTTAAGATCGGAGCATCGATTTAAAGGGTTACGACTGTTATTAAGAAATTAAGAGTAGAAAAACCAATTTAATTACCAAACCAAACCAAGTAACAAATAAATTATCAGAATACCAAGGAGACCCATAAAAGTAGGGAACACTCCGCCGGCGCCTACCGCGAGCGCATTACTTATAGTATGCCGCGCCGTTTCTTTCTTACGAGTTAGTGTTTAACCGCGACTCCCTCTGGTGGCGATGGCCGCACACGCGCTCCCACGCTTTCGACACGTCAGACGCGGAGCGCGCGCGTCATTTAGCTGCGCGATGAATTAGGTGACTCTTTTGGAATTTTTTTTTAGGAAACTATTCCTAATCAATCCTTTTAAACTTTATAAGGTAATTTCTTGTACTATTGAACTAACAAAAAAATATTTCTTTTGTCAGAAAAATGTATTTATTATGCAAATAATAATAACATTTATTCGGCGGTGTTGGTGTTTGGCGGCGTGCAAGATAACTCAAAAACTATTCATCCGATTGACTTGGGCCTTTGCACACATCTGCACAAATACTTCCCTAATAACTTGAATCGCAGTTTATAATAATATTATATAATTAAATATTTTTATTGCATAATAAACACGAAAAATTTTTTCCAAAATCGCTATCTTATTTTTTCAAATGCGCGATTTTCACAATTTCGCATTATTTTCTTTAAAAATAGGTTTAATTAATGTGTAAACTCTTAATAAACAATAATCTTTTTGGATTCATTATTTCAGACAAATACAAGCGACGCTACATTGCACGCCGTCCGCCAACGCGCCGAATAAAAAGTTATTATTATTTGCATAATAAATACTTCTCTTCTGGAAAAAAATATTTTTTTTTAGTTCAATAGTATAAAAAATTACACTATAAAGTTCAAAAGGATTGGTTGCATAGTTTCCTAAAAAAAATTCCAAAAATTCGCTAATTTTTCAGCGTACTAAACCAGGCTCCTTTCTTAAACCTGCAGCATTTATCCCTTATTAATATTTAACTACTCGCGTAACTGTAGATTCGATATTCGTGAATTGATTAATCGCATTTCGAACACGTGTTTCGTAAAACAAAATTCTAGTCAAAAGTGTATCGCGACGATTTATATATATCCTCGGATATCTATCTGCAATTTCGTATTGCGCGTAAATATGTAAATAGAAAAAAAAACCAAATTGTTTTTTTTTTCATAAAATTTTAAGAAAAAAAACATAAGCTTCGTTTTTTTCTCAAAATTTTGTTTTTTTCAGCTATCTATTTAATATCATATTTTACTTCATAGTTACTATTAAGTTAATTTTTCATGATTTTTTATTATGTAGATTTAAATTATCATCATTTTAACCTTTACGCAGAACGAGAAAGCCAATATATTGATTCTGAAACATATTTTGAAACAAGGACTTCAATATATTATAATAAATTAGAAAGAGAATTAAAATGATTCTCCTTTTAGAGAAGTTATATGTAGATCACATTAAAATTAATTATATAATTATAGAATTACTATTTACAATTAATTAGTCGTGCTATCGAAATTAGAAAAAAAAACCAAATTTGTATTTTCTTACTGAAATAAAACATATTTTTTTCTAATGTTTTTTTCTATTAGAAAAAAAAGTTTTTTAACCTCTAATTGCGCGTATAACTTTCATTATCAATGAGAAGTAATAATTGTCATAAAAGGCGAGCATATTATTATCTGTTGCTCGAAATGAAGAAAATTCGCGTGAACGCGAGACCAAAAAGACACGCACAACGCTCCGGCGACGCCGCCGCGCCGCAGCATCGTTCTTGGCGTATGAAATTGTCCGCCATTATCCGCGCGAGAAATGTGAAGCCCCGCCATCATCTTATTATTATTAATTAATAATTACGTTCATGTTCTATTTGCAGATCGCGGCGGGCAGAGATGCGGCAAGGATCCGGCTTCGAAACGAATGGCGTCACAACGTTGATTGGTGAGCGAATTAAATATACATTAACCTTGCATTTATCACGCACTTGAAAATCCATTCGACGCGTATTTCGCAAAATTTCCTTACAGATCTATGGCGCGAACAATCGGGAAACTTTTTTTTTTATTGTAAATGCATTTTCTATTGCATATTCTATTGTAATTCTATTGCATTCGCGTTTTATTTGTGAAATATCGCGGATATCGAACGTGTCATCGTAATTTCGTACGCTACTATTTTTGTCACAGCTGTTGTTGCAATAATCACGTATACGTTGCACATGATTAATATTAAGATTACAATTAAGTATGACAATGCGATCATTGCAATACTGTGTCTAATAAAATTAGTTATAACCGCGCTTAATTGTAACCAACAATTTGTTTGTTCTAATGAAATTGTTACGGGAGTGCTATAAAAAAATAAAAAAAAAAAGGAAGAAAGAAACAGAAGTGAAGTTAATTAGTAATGAATTGCAATGAATTGTAAGCATTTATTCGTAATCGTATAATAATCTATTTTATTCTTCGTTATTGATGAAAGTTATTGTTATGAAAGTTATTTGCGCAATAATACATTTTTTTAAATCATAACATAATATATAATAACATAAAACACTGCACACGTAATATATGTATTATACAATAAATAAAATAATTTAAATTATAATTTAAAATTTTAAATACATGTAACAAAATATAACATGATTAATATTAACAAATATACATAAAATATTTCTAAAGACTTATAACAGTTTAAATTTTTTACTATAAAAGTATATAAATTGATATTAAAAAAAAAAAGCATTTTTATAAGAAATCTATTTTTTTAATAATTTCTTTTACACAATTATAGTTGTATAATATTCAATAATATTATTAATTCTGTAAGGATTTATAATGGCACACTTGGAACATATTTCCAAAAAATGGGACATACTTCTACAAAAATTTTGCTTACAATTATTAAAATTTATTGTAAGCCAATTCTTTTGAGAGGCATCTTTTCGTACAATTTTGATGTTAAATATATAATATTGACATTTAGAAATTTTCTAGAAAAAAAAACAACTTCCAACTATCGAAAACTCGCAGGAGGCATACATGCGTGCATTATATTATTTGTTCTTGTAAATTAGGGAAAATAAAAATTTCTAAAAATGCAATTTCCTACAGTCAAAAACTTGCAGGAGGCATACATGCGTGCATTCTATTATTTTTTCTTGTAAATTAAGCAAACTGAAAATTTCTAAAAAAAGCAATGTCATACTTTTGAAGACTCGCAGGAGGCGTATATGCGTGCGTTCTATAATTATTTCTTGCAAATTAAGCAAACTAAGAATTTCTAAAAAAGTAACTTTCTACTGTCGGAAACTCGCAGGAGGCATACATGCGTGCGTTTTATTATTTTCTCTTGTAAATTAAGCAAACTAAAAATTTCTAAAAACGAATTTTTTTATCAAAAATTCGCGGAAGGCATACATGCGTGCGTTTTATTATTTTCTTTTGTAAATTAAGGAAACTAAAAGTTTTTAAAAAAGCTACTTCCTACCATCGAAAACTTGCAGGAGGCATACATGCGTGCGTTTTATTATTTTCTTTTGTAAATTAAGGAAACTAAAAGTTTCTAAAAAAGTAACTTCCTACCACCGAAAACTCGCAGAAGACATACATGTGTACGTTTTATTATTTTATCTTGGAAATTAATCAAACTTAAAATGTTCGAAAAAGCAATTTCCTACCGTCAATGACTAAATTACATTTTTTTAAATAACTAATTAAACGCGCAAATGCCGTTTTTTTTTTATCCAGCCATTTTAAAAGAAAAAAACAATGGCCTTGCAATGTGGTTTCTGTGCTATGTGTATAAAATATATGTGTATTAATAATTAATGATAAAGTTATCTTGGATATTTCGTGATAAAAGACTAAAAGTATGTATAAATCTTTTCAAATGCAATTTTATACTGGAATTTCATTTTAATTTATTATATTATATTATATTAATTAGAATTTTTTTATACGATCAATATGTGTGTGTGGATGTGTGTGTGTTTTCAATTTAAATTTAGAATTCAAAATCAGGAGACGTGATAGTGGCTTGGTGTTAAGTGTTTACTAATAAAATATCATGTCATTATATGTCAAGCCACGTCGAGTCTCTTCACGCGAGCCGTCGCGTTGCGAGCACCCTCGATTATGAGATTTCAATAACGGTCAAATTAAGTTCCAAGTAGGCTTAATCGACAGCGTGGGTTCGATTTGTGTAATAAAAGTGTTTTTATTTTTTTTCTACGTGCTCTACGAGCAGAAATATTGCAATGCAAAGTACGAAATAAACAAAATAATAAAATACGACATCAAAATACTAGGTATGTAGGAGACAAGATGGAAGGGTAGAAGCAGGGATACAAGGACACACATAGTACTGTATATTAATGGCAAAGAAATCAAATCGTTTAGAAAAGAGACGTTTAAAGAGGCAAAATAATTAAGAAAATAATCGCGCTGAAGATAGATATTGCTATCAAGGAAATATGAAAAATAATTGTGCTAAAAGAAAATGTCAATATCAGGAAGATTCAGAAAATAATTGCGCTAAACGACAATATCGTTACAAACACAATGTTTCTGAAACGTGTATAAAGATGAAGAAAGATGCAGTTTTGGAGCCTTCTGATAAAAATATAGTTATTCGCGGCGAATGGTTGACAGATGTACACATGGATTGTTTTAATTATTTTCTAGAAAACTGTTGAGATTATAAACCTGTTAAAACATGGCGGTTACAATGTCTCGATACAATACAACCCGTGCCAACAAATAAAAAGCATATACAAATATTACATGCTTCATTGGATGGACATTGGGTGTGCAGCTATTATGACACAAAAAACATATTTATTTACGATGCATTAAATAATAAAACTGAAACTGCACGAACATCATAAACAATTCTTGGCAAGATCATTTCCAACTTATAATTTTGACAAACATATTGTAAAGTTTTCTACTGTACAACATCGGTGTTTTTGCAATAACTTTTGCAACTTCCTTATTATTTAATATTAAACCGAATAAAGTAAAAAAAAGCCACAGATTGATACGTTCACATTTGATAAAAATCCTTGAATCAAACGTATTTGAGCATTTTCCTCAATATTCACGTTATGGAACTTGTCAAAATA